TTCCTGTCAGGCGCGGCTGTGGTTGCGGTGGGAGTCGCTCTCTATGCGGGCTGTGCTGAGGGGTTTTATCCCCTCGGCAGCGTCCCTGCCTCCCCAGCCGGGCTGAGCTTGTCTATGTCGACGTCCCCCCACAGCTTCCAGGCCCCATAGGCCCAGCCTGGACTGTACAGGGTGGCAGCATCCTCCCTGGCTGTCTCCTAGGTCCTTGCTCCCTGTTCTCTGCGTTTCTTCAGGGCACGGGGTGGTGACGCTTACCCTGGCACTCGCTACTTGTGTGTCTGCCGGCTCTGCAGGCCTGGCATTGCCCTCTCTGAGCAGCCAGTGGTAACACAGCCCTTGCCTGTCCTGCCTGCAGTCAGTGGTTTGGGCAAGAGGAGCACGTTGAAGCTGGGTGTCTCTTAAGCTGCTCTCCTGTCCTGTAGTTTCGTGTCCTCCTGCCCCAACAGGTCTCGAGGCACATTTCAGTATAAAGACGGACATTTGATGACGGCTGTTGCCAAAAGCCAGAGACAGAACAGCCCGGGTTCGCTGCAGGGTTGATACGTGATCGCTGCCCCAGTGCAGTGACTCCCCAGACTGGGCTCAACCTGCTCAGCAAACCGGGCCCTTGCTGGCAGCCATCTCCTCTCCCCAGTAGCGAGGAGAGAAGCGCTTGATGTCTCCATGTGTGGATTTCTCACTCTGTGTCCCTTCTGGCTCTGAGTCACACCCTGGGGAGCTCCTGCCCTCACCCAGCTGGAGATTTCTGTCCCAGGAACCTTGAGGATGAGTGACCTGAGCCATGATGTCTGTAGTGGGGACACAAAACGCTGCTCACCCTGGGCTGGAGCTGGTGGGGTCCAGGGGACCCAGCCTGGTCTGTGCCTCCTTGAAACCCAGGCCCTTGGGTGCTGTTTGTGACCCATGGACACCAGAGGGCACCGGGGTCCCATATTGGGAGCAGGATTGGGCCCTGTGCTGCAGGGCTGGGGGGGGCAGCTCCCCAGCATGGGGGCTGACAGTGCAAGGACAAGGACAAGGACACCAACCACCCAGGCAGAGCTGGCCCGGCCAAGGGGGGGCCATATCTTACACACGTACATAAATACAGTTCGGAGGGGAAAGGTGGTGGAAAGGGGGCTCTGCTGCTCCCCAGAGGGTCCCACACTGGTCTGGCCAAGGGGTCCTTCGTGAGCCACCTATGGGGCTCCCCAGGAGGGTGGCAGGGTGGTTCCTCGGCGATGGAGAGGTTGGTGGGCACCCTCATACCAGCAGCTGGGGTGTTTGGGGTGCAGGAGGTAGGAGACCTCCTGCCCTGCTGCAGGGATGCTGGCAGGAGGTCTCTGTCCTGCTCCATGGCACATCTGGGGGTGAGGGCCACCCCCTCATAGCACCTCTATGTCCCAGATCTGTGTGGGTCTTTCCTCAGCCATGTCCCAAACGATGGCGTGGTCCCGGTCGTAGGATCGGCCGCCTGCAGAGCAAATAGAGGGCTTCAGAAAGGCAGGCCATGCTCCTGATGGGGCAGTGGGTGCTCCATCCCACGGCCAAACACCCCATTTTTGGGGGTTCCTGGCAAAGCAGCCCCTGTGCCGATGCCGAGGCCTCACCCTTGATATCGAGGATCATGTCCTCGAACATCTGGCTGTGGATCCGTCCCTGGGAATCGATGCTCCAGGTCTGACGCGGCATCCGGGTCTCAGACCACAGCACGGCCTTGGCGCCCTTCCCAGCCGGCCCGATGACCTGCAGGCTCATCTTGGGGGCCACCTGCAAGGAGCGACAGTGGCCAGGTCACCCCACTTCTCTCCATCGCTTCCGCGCCATGCAGAGCCTTGGAGCTCAGGGGGATTTCTGGGGTGGGACAGTGAGAGGTGGGGACGACTGGGGCGATGGAAACCTCTTGGGGAGGCAGAGAGGCTTTCACATCTCCAGGAGAGAAGTAGAGGAGAAACTCAACCGATCTTTGGGGATGAGGCTGAGGAAAGAGGCTGGGAAAGGCTGGTTTAAGCCCTAAAAGATGGTTGTGGGGTGGGGAGCACCCCAGCAGGAGTCCTGGGGTACTCCAGGGATCTCCGTGGTCCCCTCTGCGGTGCTGGCTGTCACACGCAAGCCCTGACCTGGTTTTTGATCAGCCCATCCTCGTAGTACCAGACGGAGCTGCTCTGCTCGCTCAGGCTGGAGACCACCACCCGCCCCGCTTTCATGTCCTCCACGTCGTCGGGGACACAGAGGTAGAGCTCCAGCTCCCTGCTCCTGATGCGGAAATGGATCCGTCTCTGCAGAGAGAGAAATCTTTTCTTACACCGAAAATCCTGCTGCCTGCGTGCTCCATGTGCCATGGCCGAGGAGGGACCTCACTGGGCCTGTGGCTTGGGAAGGGAGGACCCAGGCCCCTGGGAGGGTCCTTCTTGTCCCCCCGAGAGCCATCCTGGGCATGAATCTCCCTGTGCTGCTGCTTTTCAGGCCTCAGAGTCACTATTGCCTCCTCCTGGCCCTTGCTTTGGGAATGTTTAGCCCCATGTGAGCCGTCTGCCTTGGGGTTTTGGGGTTCCCCCCCTTGAATGCCAGTGCCCCTCACCTGCCGGATGGGGTAGAGGGATCCCACGTGCTGGAGCCCGCTGTACGTCAGCCAGTTGGTGATTTCGGTGCAGTCCAACAGCCACTGGCGCCCACGGAAGTCACCGTGTTCACACAGCACCCAGCTGCGGGGATGTGATAAGGTGGAAATGGGGTGGGATGGGATGGGATGGGATGAAACAGGATGGGATAGGATGGGATAGAATGGGATGTGATGATGGGATGGGATGGGACAGGTTGGGACAAGATGGGATGTGATGCAAGGATGGGATGGGATGGGATGGGATGGGATGGGATGAGATGCAATGATGGGATGAAACAGAATGGGATAGAATGGGATGGGATGGGATGGGGATCACTTACATCCCTCCTTTGACCCGCACCGACAGCACGTGGTTGTTGAAGCCCTCTGCCTGCAGACTCCTCACCTCGCTGTTCAGCTCAATCTCCTTTCCTTCAAAACACTCCAGCCCGTGCAGGAAGATGGAAGGCTCTGAGAAAAACTGCGGTGGGGAAGAGATGTGAGGGAGGCAGGTGGGAGGAGCGAGCACCCATGGGTGCAGATGGACTCCAGCTCCAGGGGCTCTCATGGAGGGGAGAGGGGAAGTTCCCGGGGGGTCTCTACCCCCGTGGTGTTAGAAAGGGAAGCGAGGGCTGGTGCTCACCAACGGGACCTTCCTCAAGGAGCAGATGGTGGTGGAGGAGAGGCAGCCCATGGCACCCAGCGTGGGGTACTCGCCCTCGGACAGCACGTGCTGCTCCCCTGCGAAGGCCTGGCCGTCGAACAGGATCCAGCTGTGGGGAGAAGCATGGGGTTGTGGTGGGCACTCATCCCTCCCGTGCCCCCGGCACCCTCCATCCTGCTGGGGTGGCCTCCTCATCCCCATCCAGAGCCCCCTCAGCATCCCCTACCTGCCCCCCCGGACCCTGCAGGAGCGTGGGACGAAGGCTGTGGGCAGAGCATCCTGGTCCTCCTCGAAGGTGAGGTGATCCCCTGAGAAATCAGGCTCTGAGAAGAGCAGGATCTGGGGAGGGGGTGGGGAAGGGCCAGGTGAGGGGGGCAAAGCATTGCCACCACCCCACAAGGGGTCGCGTCCCCCAGAGGAGGACACATCCCCATCCTCATCCACTGCCCCTGACCTTGGAGATGAAGTGGAGGTTGTGTTCCCCAACCTGGAAGCAGACAAAGGGTCGGTGTTGCACCCCCAACCGAGAAGAGCAGGATCTGGGGAGGGGGTGGGGAAGGGCCAGGTGAGGGGGGCAAAGCATTGCCACCACCCCACAAGGGGTCGCGTCCCCCAGAGGAGGACACATCCCCATCCTCATCCACTGCCCCTGACCTTGGAGATGAAGTGGAGGTTGTGTTCCCCAACCTGGAAGCAGACAAAGGGTCGGTGTTGCACCCCCAACCTGGTCCCCATCAGAGGAGCACCAGGGGGGTC